CTATATGAACGACGACTNAACCACCAACAACATCAAGCTGGATAACCGGTGTCCGGGCCGAGATTCGAAATGAATACCTTCGAAATACAAATCCACAGCGATACCACTGCACCATTCTACTGGGTTTACTGCCATTTCTCCGTTTGCCACTCAGTAGGGCATATGTGAACTAGTGGTTGAACCAGATGTTCATGTGGAATATTTTAAAATGATATAGGAATAGTTGGTTGAGGCACTACACTACAAGCCAGAAGATCGCTGGTTTGAGTCCCGATGAGGTGGATTTTTTCTTCAATTTACCTAATAATTCCAGCCGCACTATGGCCTTGGGGTCTACTCTGCCTTTAACAGGGATGAGTACCAGGAATCTTCCTGGGTGTAAAGGGCGGCCGGCGCGTAAGACTGATAACCTCAGCGCCATCTGTGTGAAGATTGTTTAGGGGAAAATGTGGGAACCTCGACGTCTCACAACCCTATGGTCCTCCATGTCCTGTTACAAGGATAGCTTTACCTTTTACCTTTTTTGGGAATAAAAACAGGCCTTGCAACATATTGATCCCCCAACCCAGGACTACCAATACATTTATTGACGCGGCCCACACCTGCATGCTGTGCAACCCTGCGCTATGAAGTTTGGTCTATATGTTATGTATATAGCCTTTTTTTGTAGCTGTTCTTTACGTCTAGCGAGACTACCAATCACGAAAATCTAGTAATTAGACTGAAAGAAAACAAAGACGGAAGAAAGACAAAAAGAAAATATATGAGAAAGATGAATAGAAGATGAGATGGGTGCCGAGTAATTTTTCTTACTGCTTTATAATGGTGTGCGTTTTTCATTTAAGAAATTCCTAACATTTGCTTAGCATAAAAAGTATGTTATTATTGCAGAAGAGCACCAGACGTTCCTTCAAAGATACAGATAATTAATCCTTACTTCATTTCAGCAAGTGTACTCTTCTATGTACATAATACATTATGGTACCGGATATTTATGTGGCATGGTCCGTGTTCCACAATTAAGAGTACCGTATTTGGTAGCTATTTTTCTGGAAGTGTATGTTTAGATGCTTTCAGGAATTGTTCCTTAGCACGGATCCTACACAAATATCTCGGTCAGTTTACTGCTCACCAAGCGCCAGGATTCCGTGTGATTGATCACTGGTATGATGCACCCGTTCGCTGGTCACCTAAATACATTGAGCAGGCCTTTCTTCACAAACCGGTAATCGCTCAGCTGGTCAAAAGAATTGCCCACTTTTGTGAAACGTAAAGATGCATGTGGTTTACAACAGCCTGCCGCTAGTCCCTATCCTGAATTAGATAATTCCAGTCCGAGTGCTTCCGCCCTGTTTCTTTAAGACCAACATTTGAATAACCTTCCAAGTTCTCCCAACTACAATTCTTCATGCATTTTTCATTCTTTCCTTTAGAGCAGTTGATATAGCGACTAGCTACTGGCTGGACGACCGAGGGGTCGGAGTTCGAGTCCCGGTAGGGTCAAGAATTTTCACTTCTCCATGTCGTCTAGACCGGCTCTACGGTCCATCCAACACCCTATCCAATGGGTACAGGGGCTCTTTCCCCGGGGTAAAGCGGCAAGGGGCGTGAAGCTGACCACTCACCTCCAGCTAGTGCCGAGGTAAAGAAAACGTGGGTCTATATCCACTCCCCTATACGCCTTCATGGCGTAGTGGGTACTTAGTTAAGTACAGGGACAACTTTACCTTTTTACCTTACTATAAACATTACATTCTCCGTCAACCTGATTCTTTTAGATTTG